AAATAAATGAAAATAAATATGGCGAAAAATCCGAATCAAAAACTTTTAATTCGTGTAAGAGAGATTGGAAAAAGAAAAAAAAACCACATGACGGCAACGTGTTATCATATATCCCTTTCCCCTCCCCCCTTCCCACCCCCCCCCGAAAAAAGAGCACCCCAAAACGAAGAAGGAAACGAAAACCGCATAAGGAAATAAAAAAAAAAAAATGAATAAATGAAAAAAATAAAAAAAAATTAATTTCGTATAAATAAATAAATAATTTTATCACCATCCGGAATCGGGTAGAAACCTCGGATAAATACTTAAAAAACCCCGACAAGTAGCCTTGTCGTGTTTAATGGTGGATAATAATAATAATAATTTGTTTTTTCTGGTCAAATGAAAACCGTACGAAAAAAAAAGAAAATTTTTTTTTATTATTTCACCGCCGATTGTCGTCTACTTTTTTTTTTCTTTTTAAAAATATTATTTAATTATATGAATTAAAATGATAATAATAGTAATAATAGTAATAATAATAATAATAATAATAATAATAATAATAATAATAATAATAAAAAGTAACGGTTTGTACTAAAAAAAAAAAAAAAAATTAATAGTACAACAACATTTCGGGTGTAATAAAAAAAAAAAGTTGCTAACCGCACTACAAAAAAAAAAAAAAAATTAATGAAAACATAATAGAAATTATAAATTACGTCATAATTCTTACGTAAGAAATGAAAAAAAAAAAAATTTTATAGCGCGTTAAACTATACAGCGCGATATATTTGCTATTATTATAGCAACAAAAAAAAGTGTTACTCGAATAGTAATGCGATTTTTTTTTATGCAACATAAAAAAAAAGAATTGAAACATATACGCATTTAATAATAATAATAATAATTTTCTAGCAGGGGCCGTGAAGCAGAAGACAAAAAATGATTTTATTCGATCTGCGACAACACGCTGCGTAAAATTCAATTGAAAATAATAATAATAATAAGATCGATTGTTTTTTAAATTCGCAATTAGAACGTTTGTAAAAAAAAAAAAAAATTATAAATTAAATATTACGTTTATGTCAAAGGTCATCATTGGAAATAATTAAAAAAAATTGATTAATCATCATCATCATCATCGTTTGTATTAGTTTCTTTTTTTAATAAAAGGAAACCTTTTTTCCTTTAAAAAAAAAAAAGATACCTTTCAAAGGAAAAAAATTTAATTAAAATTAAATTGTTTAGCGGTACGTTTTTTTTTTTTTTTTTTTTGCTGCAAGCAATTATTTTGCGTAAGAAGAAATAATGCTGCATTTTCGTAGTTGAAATAATAATTTTAAAAGGAATTTTTTTTTAAAAGAGTTCAAGGTCATAGGTTAAATGAACGCTTGAATTTTTTTTTTTGTTTCCTTTCCAGTTCCATGCATTAAACGTTTTTTTTCCTTGTTAAAGTTTTTTTTTTAACTTTATGTCAACCCTTACGAAAGATTTTTCTTGTAATTTTTAGGGGTTTAAAGACGCATCAAAAACCCGGGTGGGGGAAGAGGAGAGGGGGAAATAATATTATAAGTAAAAGGACGTAACAAAACCCTAAAAAAATTTTTTTTTTTTAAATTTCCATTTTCTTCGAAAGTTATTTTTAAAAAAATTATATTTTTTTCAATTTTTCCCTGCTACCCCCCACTTTCCCGCCGATTTCATCCTCGTAATTAAATTAACGAAAAACCGGGCGTTGATATTTCGATGATGATGATGATAATAATGATGATTTTATAATTTTCATTCGATTATTTAAGGAAATTATTAAGTGTTGAATAAATTTTGGCTTGGATGGTTTAACACGTTTTTAAATTACAAAAAAAAAAAAAAAAATTAAAAATGGCGGACGAATAAAAATTACAAAATTACAAAAAAAAAATTTAAAGAATTTTATTATTAAAACTCACGATGATGATAATAATAATAATAATAATGTCCACAGGTAATTGACAAAAAAAAAAAAAAAAATTACCCTTTTCTAACAATTTCAATCAATTTTTTTTTTTTTAATTTCCTCTTTGTCATTCTCCCTCATTTTTTGTCATTTTACGTAATTTAACCCGTTTGATAAAATAATAATTAATAATTGCTGACCGTAGCAACAAATATTTCGATTACGTGTAATATTTCATTTATAGCGAATGCAACAACAACAACAACAACAACAAAAACCAGAATCCGTTTATATATTAATCAAGGAAAAAATAAAAAATTATTTTTGGCATTTAAATAAATTTAAAATAAATAAATAATATTATTAATTGCAATAATAATAATGATGTTTTTTTTTAAATGTTAACGTTACGAAACGAACGGGAAACAATATTATTATTATTTTTATTGTTTAAAAAAAAATTTTTTTCGCTATCTTTTTCTTTTTTTTCTCTTATCCATAAAAGGAGAATAAAAAGAAGAAAAAAAATTTTTTTTTTTTTTGAGACGAGGATTCAAATTCTGAAAATGTTTTCTTTATTCTCCTCCTCCTCCCCATCCTCTTCCTCACCCTCCACCTCCCACTCCTCATCCTCATCCTTTTTTTTTATTTTTTTCCCTTTCATCCATACACTCCAGATTTTTATTATTCTTCTAAAAATTCATGAAAAGAATAAGAAGAAAAAAAAAAAAATAATAATAATGAAATAAACGCACAATGAAATTGTAAAGAAGAAAAAGAAGAAGAAGATGAACGAATAAAAAGATTTGAAAAAGAAAAGAAAAGAAAATGCCAATTAAATGAAAAAAAAAGGTATGAAATATGAAAAAAAATTCGATACAAACAGGTAAACTGGGAATTTCGTGGGAGGGGGCGTCGAGGGAGTCGGGGAACGACGGGGGGACGCCTACCTGAATTTAAAATAAAATAAAAGAAAAAAAAAATTTTTTTTTCTTTTTTTCTTCTGCCATCTTTTTATTTAATCGATTATTATTATTATTATTATTATTATTATTATTATTATTATTATTATTATTATTATTATTATTATTATCCAAGACCTTAGTTGACATATAAATAATATAGAAAACATCTTTATTGAAAATAACGTTATGTAATTTGATGCGAATAGTTATTATTATTATCATTATTATTATGAATGATACGAAAAAAAAAAACAGGACCGAAACTAGTTTCAAATTTATTATTATTAACATTGACTCGTTTACCTAAATACAAAAAAATTTTTTTTTGTATCGTCGTTAAAAATTTAAATAACAGTTTAATAAATAAATAAAAAGTGAAATTTTATTTTTATTGTTTAACTTTATCTACCTTGTTTTCCCTTTACTACTCCCCTCTTCCCCATTTCTCCCCCCCCAATTTTTTTTTGGGTAAGAAAACGAAAACCGAAGAAGAAATTGACTCATGAATAAGTAAAATGAAATAGAAAAAAATGTTTTTTTTGCTCCCGTTCAAAATAAACGATAGCAAAACATTTCCCCCCTTCCACACCCCTCTAAAAATAATATAATAAATAAATGATTGACTATCGATTATTTCAATAATAATAATAATAAATAAAAAACCATAGACGACGTATATGAAATTTAATTATGACGAAAGCAAAAATTATAATTTTTTTACGACGACGACGACGGCGAGAGAATAAAATAATAAAAAAGAAATTTATTTACTTATTTTTTTTTTTACACTTTCCTCATTAATTGATTGATTGATTGATTGATTGGCATTGTATTTTATATTTTATTCAAAATAAAACGGTTTATAACTTTTTTATTAATGTGTGTTTTTTTTTTTACGAACTCACTCTAGTACATTATATACATTTTTATTTTCTCTATGACAATTACATTTACGGTAAACTTCAAACTTATTAAAAAAAAAAAAAAAACATAAACTCGAAAAATCATCATCGTCATCATCATCATCATCATCATCAATATGGTCGAGTTTTTTTTTTTTTTTTTTTTTTTCAAAACGTTTTGAATTTGCAATTTTTTTTCTGAACGAACGAACGAAGGAAGAAAAAAAAATGACAATTTAATTTTTTGACATTTTAAAATTAACCTTTTTGTAAAATAACAAAACGCAAATTTTTTTTTTTTTTTTCAAAATGGCGGAATGTTTTTTTTTTTTTTTAATCGAAAACCGTCGTTAACATATTCGTTTCCATATTTTACAACAATAACT